AGAGAGAGAGAGAGAGAGAGAGAGAGAGAGAGAAGGCTGTACGAAAAGGCTATACAATGTTGGGACGGAAGGGAATTTGGCTGCAGAGACGATTTGAACTTTGTCCCATGTATTCATTCTTGCAGAATGACGATATTGCCCTCTCATGCTTGGGGACAGATTTTTCATTTTCCATAATATCCCTATATTTTAGAGTCCTTTTTCAGTAATTAAATTTTAAAAAGCCATGCCAATGCTTGGATGTCACAGTAAAATTTTCTGAAATTTTTGTTTTATTTCCATTGCCAGTCCCAATTGTTGCAATTTGATATATACAATTTTATTTTTGTCTTTTCCACCTAATATTAATCACATTTAAACAGAAAGTATGTAGAAATAGCTCAAATCTAGTTTAGATCTAAAAATCACACACAAAAAGCAAGAGATATGGAATCTCCATTTTTACTTGAGCTTCAATCTTTGCAAATGTTTTCTTAAGTTCAGATCTAACAACAGCACGATAATATCATGCTTAGCCATAATAGCCAGTACAAAGCATACACGTGCACCAACAAAGTGGGGGCACGTGCCAAATAAATGCAGAAAAGAAATAAGAAAAATAAAACGCGATAAAACGCGAGTTTACAAGTGTTGTGCGACTTTCGGAAAATGAAAAAAACAGAAATGTAGAATAGAAATCCCATGCACTCTTCTGCTTTGGTTCATTTCACTTTCTTCAGAAATCCCATAATTCCAACAACCCCCTCTCAAGTGGGAATGTGGTTTGTCAAACGCATTCCCAATTTGCAAAGAAACCGAGAAAAATCACCACCTCCAAGTGACTTAGTAAACAGATCAGCAGGTTGAAGAGTGGAAGATATGTGCATGGGCATGATGAGCCCAGCTTTATACTGATCACGCACCACGTGGCAGTCAATGTCCAGATGTTTCGTGCGCTCGTGAAAAACTGGGTTAGCCGAAATGTGAAGAGCAGCACGGTTGTCACACCATAAAGGAATAGGTGTAGATAGTGTGATCCCCAAGTCTTTAGCCAAATATGTGAGCCACTGTACTCACAAACAATAGTGGCCATGCTCCTATATTCAGCTTCTGCAGAAGAACGTGACACCGTTCTTTGTTTCTTGGTTTTCTAGGATATGAGTGCTTGTCCCAAAAATACACAATAGCCAGTTAAAGATCTTCTAGTAATGGTGCAGCTGCCCCAATCAACATCACAGAAAGCCTCTAGCTTTATAGAAGGGTTAGCTGCATAGAAAAGTCCCAAATTTGGTGTTCCTTTTAAGTACCTGAGAAGATGTAGGCTAGCAGTCCAATGACCCTGAGTAGGTGCATGGACAAATTGAGTTAATTGTTGCACAACATATGATATATCAACCCTGGACAGATTGAGGTAGAGGAGTCTCCCCACTATTCTCCTAAACCTCTCATGATGATCAAACAGTAGTGATTGCAAAGAAGATAAGTTTAACCCCTGAGGTAAAGGAGTAACTGCAGGTTTAGAATTATCCAACCCAAGATCATGTACAATATCCAGTATATACTTCCTTTGGCTCAAATATGTTCCTGTGGATGTTCTGTGAATCTCAAGACCAAGAAAGTACTTTGCCTGCCCTAGGTCCTTAATGATGAAAAGACCACGAAGATATTGCTTGAGTTGTTCAATGTTTGTGAAAGATGCACCTGTGATCAATACATCATCTAGATAGATTAGAAGTGCAAGGAGGTTCTTCCCAGAATGTTTGAAAAATAAACAGTGATCATAAGGTGACTGCTTGAAACCATAAGCCACTAGTTTGTCTGAAAATTCAATATTCCACTTCCTAAATGCTTGTTTCAATCTATATAGACTTCTTTTCAGCAAGCAAACCTCTCCCTTTTGGCTTTGTCATAACCTTTTGGAGGCATCATGTACACTTCCTCATCAAGTAACCCATGCAGGAAGGCATTGTTGATGTCTATGTGATGTAGTTCCCAACATTGTTGTGAAGCCAAGGCTATGATCATCCTCACAGAAACCAATTTAGCTACTGGAGAGAAACTATCTACAAAATCCACTCCTTCCTTCTGTAGGTATCCCTTAGCCACCAATCTTTCTTCAAATTTGTCAATTGTTCCATTTGGATTTCTTTTGACCTTGTAAAGCCATTTTGATCCAATGACCCTTTTCCCTTGAGGCAATGTTGTGAGAATCCAAGTGTTGTTGGACTCCAAAGCCTTCAATTCCCTGCGCATAGCTTCAATCCATCTCACATCACCAACAACTTGCTCATAATAGGCAGGTTCAGAAATTGTTTTGTCCACCTCAGAAAAGAATAGGTTTGTTTCTTCATCCTGTGATAATTCCACCACATAATCTGACATCCATGCAGGAGGATGTCTGGTTCTAGCACTCGTTCTCAGTTCAACATTCTTTTCAACAACTACTTCAGTACTGTCAGGTGTCATTTCATTGATGGAAATGTCCCTGTGATCAAATTCTTTTACAACTGGCAATTGACTTTCAGTAGGCTCATTGTGATTTGGAGTAATTCCCTCTTTCAAAAAAGGGAATTTTGCTTTCATGAAAAATCACATCTCTAGAAATAAAAACTTCCTTTGTCGGCAAATTATACACCCTATACCCTTTGGTTCCAGAGACATAACCAAGAAAAGCACATGGCATAGCTCTCTCATCAAATTTCTTTCTTTGTGGCCCAAGTTTACTTGCATAACATAGGCATCCAAATACTTTAAACATGCTATAAGTTGGTTTGTGTCCATGAAGTAACTCATGGGCATTTCCATCCCAACTTTCCACTGGGCAATGTATTGATGATTTGCACTTCTGCTAGCAAACTATAAGGCCAGAGAGTTTTAGGGAGCTTACATTAGAATGACAATGATCTAGCCACTTCAAGGATTGATCTATGCTTCCTCTCCACAACACCATTTTGCTGTGGAGTGTAGGGACAGGACCTTTGGTGTAGAACTTCATTCTCCTTCAGGAAAAGCTCCATCTCTTTGTTGATAAATTCACTTCCATTGTCAGTTCTGACATTTTTTATTTTGATGTCAAATTGAGTTTCAACCATTTTGAAGAAGGATTTAACATGAATGAGTGTTTCTGACTTGTACTTCATTAGGTAAATCCAAGTAGCTCTTGTAAAATCATCCACAATTGTGAGCATGTAGGAAGTGTTTGTTAGAGAGTCTTCATGGTGTGGCCCCCAAACATCCATATGAATGAGCTCAAACTTCATCTTGCTTTGTATGTAACTGAGAGGGAAAGGCAACCTACACTACTTTGATCTATGACATATGTCACTCACATTTAAATCCAGCTTAGAACAATCTGCCTTAATGAAACTCAAGTGTTTTAAGCAACCAACAGATGTATGTCCTAGTCTTTTATGCCACAGAATCAACTCCTTATCTTCAGTTGACTTCATGTCAGTAACATTTAGACAGACATTGTGTCCATCCATGACATATAGGCCCCCAACTGCTCTTCCCACAGCTACAATTGAACCAGTATTCTTCTCTTTCTGTTCACACTCATCACATTTGAAAACAAAGATCATTCCATCATCTTCTATTAGTTGTCCCGCAGATAGCAAGTTATACTTGAATTCTGGTATTATCAAAACATCTCTGAGAACAATTTTATCATTGAACTGTACTTCACCCATTTGATCCACTTTCACCTTGGAACCATCTGGTAGGTTGACAGTAATAGGACGAGTCACCACTGTTCTCTTGTTCATCATCCCAATATCACAACAAATATGCTTGCTAGCTCTAGTGTCAATGATCCAACCACCTTTGTTAAGTCTACTTCCCAGAGAAAATGCAAAATCCTTCATTTCGTCAGCATGATCTACAAAATGTGAATATGTGTGAGTTTCTGATGTCTGATTTGACATATACCTAGCCACTTATTTTTGAATTAATGAACTTATATCACCCAATGAGTCACTGTGCTGTGATTTGGTTTCTGAGTCTCCAAATGAAGACCTTGAAGATTCATCTTTATCTGCCATGTTGACACTTTGTGATTGTCTGGCTCCTCAACTCTATATACCAATCTGGGTAGCCATTTATCTTAAAACTCCCCTTTTACTTCATGGCTATTGAAACCACAATGAGTGCAATATAACTTTGCTCTTTCTCCTTTAGTTAATCTTGGACCACCCCTTCCTCTTCCTCTAGTGTTTGTTGATTGAGCTGTAAAACCTCTTCCACCTCTTGCAAAACCCTTGCCTCTGTCATTTCCTCTACCATATCCTCCTTTTACCAGCATAGCTGAAGTTTCCAGCTGATTAAAAACTCCACTACCCAAACTTTTCTGTTTTTCAACTTTCAAAATCATTGAGTATGCCTTACTGATGGTAGACAATGGGTCCATTAGTAATATCTGGTTCTTCACCGGCTCAAACACCTCATTTAGCCCCATAAGGAACTGCATAAGCTTGTTTCCATATCAATATCATTTAAGGCTTTCATGGTTCTACATATACACTCAGGTAAAGTAGTAACACAAGAGTACTCATCCCATAAGCACTTCAATTTTGTATAATATGCAGTAACTGTGAGTGAGCCTTGAGAAAATGTGGCAATTTCTTTCTGCAGTTGATATTTAAGAGGCCCGTTGCTTTCACCATATCGCTCGGCCAATTCATCCCAAAGTTGCTTTGCACTTTTAGCATAAATGAAGGCTTCTACAATGTCCTTAGAAATTGAGTTAAGCATCCAAGAGATAACCATAGATTGTACCTTTCTGTATTGAGCGAATTCTTCTGATCCTTGCTCTGGAATAACAACAGATCCATCGATAAAGCTGAGCTTGGATTTAGCTCCCAGTGCAAGCTTCATTGCATGACTCCAGTGTAGGTAGTTCCTACCGGTGAGTAGATTAGTGACCAACACCAAGCCAGGATGATCCGATACATGAAGAGAAAAGGGATCTATGTCGCGAGTGTACGTGTGCCTGCCAACGATTTCTTGGCCTTGTTCATCAGCGTGCGCCATTAGGAATTAGTGACCCGCTCTAGATATCATGTAGACATAGCTAAAATATAGTTTAGATCTAAAAATCACACACAAAACGTAAGAGATATGAAATCGCCATTTTTACTTGAGCTTCAAGCTCTACAAATGTTTTCTTAAGTTTAGATCTAACAACAGCACGATAATATCATGCTTAGCCATAATGGCCAGTACAAAGCATACACGTGCACTAACAAAGTGGGGGCACGTGCCAAATAAATGCAGAAAAGATTAAGAAAGATAAAACGCGATAAAACACGAGTTTACAAGTGTTGTGCGACTTTTGGAAAAATAAAACAGAAATGTAGAATAGAAATCCCATGCACTCTTCTGCTTTGCTTCACTTCACTTTCTTCAGAAATGCAATAATTCCAACAAAGTAAAATAAAATATATATAAAAAAAAAATACTGCTAATCTCAATTTCAACTAACCAAAAAAATTTGGATTGGTTATATGAACTTTGTTACATGAACTTTGCCCAATGTTGATCATTTTAGAAGGTTATATTGCATAAGCAAAATAATTAATGATCATTAACATCAACTATCGTTAAACTTACAATAGTACGTACCACGGGACATACATATTAAATGAGTCATTTTCGTAGTGTTTGTCCATTTAAGCACCAAAAATAATAGGATTGAATTGTTCATTTTTTATTCACTGATATAAGAAAAAAATAATAGTATTACTTATTTTTGTTCATCATATAATAATCAATTATTATTTTATTATAAAATTTATTGGCATATAATTTTATTTTTATTATTTATAAAATTTAGAAGTAATCTACTTCTTCTTCTTAATTTATATGATTGAAAATATTTAATGTACGTAAATATTACTTATTAATGTAAATAATTCAAATTTATGTAAATATAAACATTTGGATTTAGCAATTGTCGAAAAAAATTCATTTCTCTCAGCTGCTGCTCCTACTGAGCAGAGCTCACTTCATCACTCTCATACTGACTTGAGCGTCGGAGGCTCTTCACCGGAAACACCTCCGGTGTTGAGTTCTTGCAGGTGTTTGCAGCGGTTCGAAGGAAATTTAGAGGCGGTTCGAGCAGATCAGAGCTCATTACCACCGTTTCACTTCAGATCTCGAAGTAGACCATCAAATTGGCGCCGTCTGTGGGGAGTTCTTAAAGGAAACAAGAGCTTTGCACCTAGTTCCGATCTTTTCGAAGATGGTAGAGAATGAAGGATTGCCGAGGAACTTGAACGAGGACTTCAGAGGAGCGTGGATAAACAAATGCCCTTTACCGATTCGCAGCCCCAGACCACCACTTTTGGTGCTCGGCTTCCCACCATTTGGGGGTCACGCGCCGTCGGGAGTGCGTACAGAGGAAGAAACGCCCATCACCCCGCCTAAGGTGAAAATTCCAGTATTAACGCAAGGAGGACCTAGTAATGTGAAGGGCACAAGTACGGGAGTCGAGGGGCAAAGGCCGACAAAAACATCCCTGAGTCTTGGGAGGAAAGTAAGAGAGGTGACGAAGCAGGGGACGAGACCACCGCCCCATGTCGAGGAACAGACACTGACCATTACGAGGAGCGAGATGCAGAGGATGATTGCGGAAGCGGTGGCGGCCCAGCTCAAACAGACACAGGTCGAGCAACCTAGGGTTGAACAACCGCAGATTGAGAAACCACCCCCTGAGCGTGAGCAACAAGCCCAGTCCAATGAGAGACAGAACATGAGGGTGGACGAGGAAGAATCCTCTGTGAGAACTATCAATCCACAGGCGAGGAATGAGAAGTTGGAGCAGTTGTTAGCCCAAGTTCGAGATTTGCAGGCTCGATTTGAGGGGAAGAAGACTGGAATCTCGAGAGGACATCCATTCTCGCAACACATTTTGGATGCTGATTTGCCGCAGGGGTTTAGAGAGCTGAATATCTTGTATGACGTCGACTGATCCCTCTCGACATTTGTGGAGTTTTGAGAATATGGCGGTGTTGCATCGTTCTAATGATCATGTTCAATGTCAAGCATTCTTAAGAACACTACGAGGACCTGTGCAAGACTGTTCCACCAACTGCCTCTAGGAGCCGTTAGGGACTTCGATGGGTTCAGCTCGAGCTTCCTTAACCAGTTCGCGAGTGTCAAAGCCCAGGAAAAGTCGTACTTTACTCTGATAGGTATGCAATATAAAGAAGGAGAGTCGTTGCGGGACTATGTGGCGAGGTACACCCGGGCTTGCATCGACGTGCCCTCGGCCACGGAGGAAATTACGTCGGGACGACTGACTAGGGGTCTGCTACCAGGGTTGTGTAGAAACTCTTTGGTAAAGCGACTTGGTAGGACATTCGATGATGTATTGGGGGAGATGCGCAAAGTACATGAATGTCGCGGAAGCGGAAACCGACTTCCTGCAAGTGGCAAAGGCGAAAGTGGAGCCCCAAGATGAGAAGAGGACAAAAAGGCAAAATCGTCAGGAGAAAGGGGAGGGTCCTTGAAGGCAGACAGAGAGGGACGATCTAGAAGATGGAGGCCAACTCAATACACCCCCTTGTCGGCTCCTCAGGCAAGAATACTGGAGGTAATGGAAAAAGAGATCCATGACAATGTCGTTAGGTGGCCACAGACGAGGAAAGATGGACCAACAAACCCCAAGAGTAACCTCTATTGTCGATTTCACAAAGATTATGGGCATAATACTGATGATTCTAAACACCTCAAAGACGAGATTGAGAGGTTGATCAAAGCCGGGCACTTAAAGAAATTTATATACAAAGACCGCGAACGGTCAAGCAGAAGGAGAGAAAGAAGTAGGATCCCTCGCAAGAGGGCGAGAACGCCGGAAAATGAGGAACTTCCTCAGAAAAGTGTAATACACATGATATTTGGTGGGCCGACTGACAGAGATTCAAATCGAGCAAGGAAGGCGTATTCTCAAGGGTGGCATGCTAAGGTTGAGGTACAACAAGTTGACGAGGGCGGCCCAGTGATGAATTTTGGACCGAAAGATGTGGGAGAGGTCGAGAAGCCTCATAATGATGCCCTGATGATAACTGCCCAGGTGTCGGGCTATAAAGTGCAAATAGTCTTTGTCGACATAGGGAGTTCAGTGAACGTGATCTTTTATGACTGCCTCAAAAGGATGGAACTCGACATTGAGCTCACATCTCTGCATACGTCGCTGTTTGGTTTCAATGGATCAAAATTCACACCCTTGGGAGAGACCATGCTCGTTGTTGCCTTAAGGGAAGGTGACTTGAGGAAGGTGAAGATGGTGAGATTCGTAGTGGTCGATCTCGAGTCGGCTTACAACGTAATTTTGGGGAGGCCAGCACTCAATGCTTTCCAAACCGTCGTGTCGACATATCGCATGAAGTTAAAATTCCCTGTCGGAGATCAGGTGGGAGAGGCTCGAGGGGCAAGAAGCTTTCGAGAATGTGTTACCAAATTGCGGTAAAACCAATCAACAAACTGAGATCAAAGAAGAGAAAAAATCAATCATGAACTAAAAAAGGCCGAGAGAGAGTGATCTCGAGCTGCATGGAGAAATAATGGAGATACAGATTGGTGAGATAGAGTATCAGACCACTATGGTCGGAAAGGATTTGGAGGACGAGCTGTGAAATCAACTTATCATACTACTGAAGGAGTTCAAGGATATATTTGCTTTCACCCCAGAGGAGCTGATGGGAATTGACCCTGAAATCATGGAGCATAAATTCAATGTCGACCCCCTCAGAAAGCTGGTGAAGCAGCGACTTAGACACCATAGTGCAGAAATCGACAAAGCCATTGAAGTCGAGGTGGACAAATTGCTGTGAGCAGGACACATCAAAGAAATCCAATTCCCTGAATGGATATTCAACACAGTAATGGTGAGGAAGGCACTAAATAAATGGTGTATGTGCATCGACTTCCGCGACTTGAACCTAGCATGCCCGAAAGATCACTATCATTTACCAAGAATCGACCAACTAGTCGACTCCACGGATGGCTGCGAGTTATTGAGTATGATGGACGCATCCTAAGGGTATCATCAAATCCCCTTGGTCCCCGAGGATCAGGGCAAGGTGAGCTTCGTGATGAGAAAAGGGGAATATTGTTATGTCGTCATGTCATTTGGACTTAAGAATGCGGGGGCGACTTACCAGCGGTTGATAGATAGTATATTCAAACCTCAAATTGGGCAAAATATGGAAGTATAGGTCGACGACATCCTTGTAAAGAGCAAATCTTTGGCTTCCCTGAATGGATATTTAACACAATAATGGTGAGGAAGGCACTAAATAAATGGTATATGTTCTTCGACTTCCGCGACTTGAACCTAGCATGCCCGAAAGATGACTATCATTTACCAAGAATCGACCAACTAGTCGACTCCACGGATGGCTGTGAGTTATTGAGTATGATGGACGCATTCTAAGGGTATCATCAAATCCCTTGGTCCCCGAGGATCAGGGCAAGGTGAGCTTCGTGACGAGTAAAGGGGCATATTGTTATGTCGTCATGTCATTTGGACTTAAGAACGCGGGGGCGACTTACCAGCGGTTGATGGATCGTATATTCAAACCTCAAATTGGGCGAAATATGGAAGTATAGGTCGATGACATCCTTGTAAAGAGCAAATCTTCGGCTTCACTCCCAGACAATTTAAGGGAAACATTCAAAACCCTTCGAGCATTTGGGATGAAGTTGAACCCAAGCAAATGCGCCTTTGGAGTAAAGGCAGGACGATTCCTAGGATACGTCGTCACAGAACGAGGGATTGAGGTAAACAAGGACAAGGTGGGAGCCATACTCGACATGGCCCCACCACAAAACATAAGAGAAGTACAAGTCCTGACAGGGAGGATTGCGGGTCTGAGCAGGTTCATTGCTTGAGCAGTTGAGAAAAGCTTTCATTTTTTCATATTGCTTATGAAGAAGACGACTTTCTTGTGGAGTGACGAGGTGCAAATGGCATTTGAAAAGTTAAAAGAGTTACTGAGTAAGCTGCCCTTATTGACCAAACTCGAGCCGAGTGACGAGTTGGTGTTGTACATCTCGGTGGGAGTGGATTCTTTGAGTTCGGTGTTGCTGCGAGAAGAAGGATGTGCCCAGCAGCCAATATATTATACCAGTCGAGTACTCCAAGGAGCTGAGACGAGATACTCTGAAGTCGAGAAGGTCGCTCTATCCAGGGTGATAACGGCGAGGAAGTTGAGGCTGTATTTTCTAAATCATACGGTGGTGGTAAGGACAAACTTTTAACTCGAAGAAACATTGAGACAACCTACGGTGTCAAGTGGACTTGTTAAATGGGCTGTCGAATTAAGCGAGTACACCATCAAATACAAGCCCAGGCGGGCGATCAAAGCCCAGATGCTGGCATATTTCATCCAGGAATGCACTAAGGGAGAAGAAAAGAAATGGATAATGCATGTCGGTGGGTCCTCTGCAGCCAAAGGATCTGGATTAGGAGTCGTCCTCGTGACTCTCGAGGGAGAGCAACTCGACTGTGCCATCAGAATGGGTTCAAAGCCTCGAATAACGAACCGAAATATGAAGCACTTATCAAAGGGATTCAACTCGCAATTGGTGGCAGAGCGACGGAGATCATGGCACATTCTGACTCACAACTCGTCGTGGGACAAGTAATGGAAAATTGCAAAATTATGGAGGATCGGATGCTAAAATATTTCGAGGAAATTCAAAGCCTTTTGTACAGGGTTTGAAGAAATTTGAGTTAAAACAGGTCCCACGAGAAGAAAATAAGCGAGCCGACTGGTTGGCGGGAATCGCAAGTTCCAATGAAGGGAAGATGGGAAATCGTATTACTACCTTGCACTTGGAAGGAAGTGTTTTGGACGAAGCCATAGAAGTCGACGAGTAGGAAGATTGAAGGAAGTCGATTCGTGAACTCTTGCAAGGTCAAGTTCCCCCGAGAGACAAGCAAGAGGTGGAGAAAGTTGCTCGATACTTGAGCAAATACTTTGAAGTTGATGGGATTTTATATAAGTTGTTGGTTGGGCCCCATCTATGGCATGTCTCCGAAGAAGAAGAAATTCATGTCCTAAGAGAAATTCATGAAGGATGATGTGGAGCACACGTAGGATCTCGAGCCTTAACCGAAAAAGCCTTGCGAGCAAGCTACTATTGGCCTAAGATTCGAGCAGCGGCAAAACAGTTAGTTCAGAAATGCAAAAAATGTCAACGCCATGGGTAAATCACTCACATCCCGGCTGAATACATGACGACAATCAACTCTCCAATCCCCTTTGCCCAATGGGGAATCGACTTGGTGGGTCCGTTACCAATGGAAACGGGATAAAGAAAATTACTTGTAGTCACAGTCGACTACTTCAGCAAGTGGGTCGAGGCGGAGCCCTTGGCAAAGATCACCGAGGAAAAAATGATACAATTTCTATTCAACAACATCTGCTGTCGATTTGGAATTTCAAAAGTGTTGATTTCAGATAACGAAACACAATTCCAAGGGAAACGAATCCAAGCATAGTGCCTCGACATGTGGATTAAGCAGCAATTTGCCTCAGTCGCACATCCCCAGGCGAATGGACAAGTTGAAGTAACAAACAGGACCATCCTCCAGGGGTGGAAGAAGAGATTAGAGAAGGCGTCGGGAGCTTGGGTTGATGAGCTGACAACCGTCCTATGGGCCTATAGGACGAATCCGATAAGTTCGACGGGACAATCTCCATTTCACATAGTTTACGGAATGGATACACTCATGTCCATCGAAATCAACTTGAATTCTCACAAGTCGACATTCTATGAGGAAATTAAAAACGAAGAGATGATCGAGGAAGCCCTCGACCTGATTGAGGAAGGACAAGAGGAAGCTTGGGTACGATCTATCGATACAAACAGAAGATGCGCGCAGCTTTCAATAGGAAAGTCCGAACCAGACGTTTTCAAGTAAGGGATCTCGTCCTCAAATGAGCAGACACTCTCAAGCATATTGGGAAGCTCGAAGATAATTGGGAAGGACCCTACACTTTCAGAAGGGTGCTCGAGAGAGGCGCGTATGAGCTCGAGGATAGAGAAGGTTGACATGTGCCGCGTTCTTAGCATGTGATCCACCTAAAACGTTTTTATGCTTAAGGCAATGTTTCAAACTCTTTTTTGTACTGAACAATGTTCCAATCACATTCAGTAATGAAATGAATCTCAAGTTTACGCTTCAATTATGTCTCTTTACATTCACATGTCGACCTTATTTTGATTGCCTGAAAAATCAAATTTTTCAAAACGGCTATGTAGCCGACTAACTCATACGACTACGAAGTCGATTTAAGCAAGTATGAAGTTGTATCTCTCGAGTGGAATCTTGAAAAGGCTACGAAGCCTTCGACTACAAAGTCAATTTAAATAACTAATAAGTTGTATCTCTCGAGTGGAATCTCGAAAAGGCTATGAAGCCTCCGACTACGAAGTCGATTTAAACAACTACAACATTGTACCTCTTGAGTAGAATCTCGAAAAGGCTATGAAGCCTATGACTACGAAGTCAATTTAAGCAACTACGCAGTTGTATTTTTCGAGTGGAATCTTAAACAAGCTACGAAGCTTGCGGCTACAAAGTCGATTCAATTATGAATCCGTCACCAAGAAGAACCTTGAACGGGTTGAAAAACTTATGATTAATCATTTGAAGTTGTTGAATATTATTGCTCGTCTTCAACCAACACACAAGACGGGTTGGGAGAAGACGGGTTGAAAAACTTTTGATTAATCAGCTATGAATCTGTTGAATATCATTGCTCATCTTCGACTAGCTTGCAATACGGGTTGGGAGAAGACGGGTTGAAGAACTTTTGATTAATCAGCTATGAAGCTGTTGAATATCATTGTTTGTCTTCGACCAGCTCGCAAGACGGGTTGGGTTAAGATGGGTTGAAAAGCTTTTGATTAATCAGCTATGAAGCTGTTGAATATCATTACTCGTCTTCGACCAGCTCGCAAGACGGGTTGGGAGAAGACAAGATGAAAAACTTTTGATTAATTAACTATGAAGCTGTTGAATATCATTGCTCGTCTTCGACCAGCTCGCAAGATGGGTTGGGAGAAGACAGGTTGAAAAACTTTTGATTAATCAGCTATGAAGCTGTTGAATATCATTGCTCGTCTTTGCACAGCTCGCAAGCCGGGTTGAAAAACTTATGGTTATCGGTTACGAAGCCGCTAATACTATTTCTCGTCTTTGACCAGCTCACAAACCGGGTTGGGAGAAGACATAATAAGACGAGACAACGCACTTGGAAATATACGGAGCTGTCAAGAAAAAACATCAATGCGAGGCAATTGAAGAAAAAA